TCTTACGGCTGCGTTGGAGCCATCTTGGGGCCAACTTCGTCTACCTTGGGGCCCATAATGATGATACAACTTCGGCATTGCCAAAAGCCATCCAAAAATCCGCCCACACCGCTTGTCGGTGCAGGGCGTGCTATTGGGGCTCTTGAGCTCTGCCGCCTATGCAAATAGCTCTGCTAGGGGGTGCGAACTGGTTCAGAAGGCTATGTTCTGCCGGTGGTGGCTGTGATGGCTCAGCTGCGGCTGGTTCCTCTGGTTGGGCACCTTGAACTTCACAAGTCAAACCTGGTCGAACTGATTCTTCATCTGGCTGCTGTTAACCAAGCCGTCCAGCTTCTGGCGAGCTAGGGTCAAGTTCTTCTGGCCGACCTCTCTTCTTGGCTTCATCCTCATTCTTTTTTGGCTGGCGCTGTTGCTGAAGTTGCGCTCCTCCTCCAGGTCGCATATCCAAGTAGGGGCTGTCCTCCTTGGCCCACGCCGACCGAGCAGCCTCGCGCTTTGTGCATCTTCGACCGAGCAGCCTCGCGCATTGTGCATCTTCGATTGAACAGGCATGTAGGATCAGGATCATCCACCATGTTGAAATGATCCTCGCCTTCGTCTTGCCAGCCATAGTTTCTAGCATTCTTCCCAATGACCCACTGCGAGGGACTGAATACGATGACAGTGCCTTGCCAGTTCTTCGTCTCCAGGCATTCCACTAGAGCCAACTGCCTCTCCAACTCTCCAACTGGTCCCGCGGTCCACCATGTATTGTGGTTGGCCTGCCCGCGCCATCCACATCCGCAAGCACCTTGGCGATGATGGTGTCTCCGTTCCTTTTTTTAGGACCTCGCCCGTGTGGAAACTGGTACCAAGGCACATGACACGCAAGATCTGGTATGGGTCTCCCATACTATCCTTCACTGTGACAATGTCCAGCCCAATACTCTCATTGAAGGTGTAAAAAGGTGTACGGACCCGGCACCATCACCACTGATTCACCACTTGTGCCCTCTTTTCCGTCGCACGCTGGGCACCTGAAGTGTCGAACTTCTCTGACCAGAGGTGCATCGTTGGCGTACCTCAGCATCCGGGTCGTTTGAGGTCTCGTAGCATGGCTGCACATGTGGTGTAGTCGGCGGACGCCAACTCTCAGCCTGAGTAAGCTTCCTCCATCCTTGCTTCCTCAGCTTCTCCGTCAGGATCTGCATCTTTATCGAGTAGATCCAGTTGCTCTTCATGTTGCACAACTTCTTCAACATCGTTCTGGTCCGGCGCAGTCTTCGCCAGGTCAACTGGTCCTTCCACTGCGTCCAGCATCATGGAAGCATACTGCTTTACCAGCTCCTCAGTATGGACATACCAGATCTGCGACTCCATCACGTTGAACTCCCACCAAGACTCGTTTGCAGAATTAGACTGTGTATCCTTCCAGCCTGGGTGCATCTGGATCCATAAGCGTTCTGGCCTTCCAGTGCGAGCCCATATGCATGTGCGCTTCCGGTGTGGTACTCCAGATTCCCGATCTCGAAGTCCAAAGAGGCACATGTCCACCTTGCAGCTTCGAAGTCCCCTTCTGAAGTTCATGGAATCTCCATCATAGTGATCCTCCCTTTTTCACGCTGACGCTTGACCAGTTTCTTCATCCAATTGAAGATCCAAATGCATATCCTCCTCTTCTCGTCGACCGTTCCCCGGTCAACTTGCATCCTCTGCGAGAGTGACCATGGTCCGCAGGGGAAGGCCATGGAGAGCAAGTAGGGGTCCTCCTCCTTCACCAAACATCCAGTCTTGATGTCCAGTGGTCGGCAGCACTCTTACCCTTGTGACTGAAACACCGCTGAGTGCCTTCTGTCCCTTTGGGAAAGGCGCCCGCTGCCGCCGAAGCGTCGACCACATGGCCTGGCCCTCATTCTCATGTTCTTCAACCTTCACTGCCAGCTTCCTTCTCTGGCCCCTCGTGAGGATCTTCAGGATCTTCCGATCTCCATCTTCCCAAGCCACCTTCTTGTTCTTCAGCTTCTCATCGATCGGCTTGACTTCGAACTGCGTCACTCTGGGTCCTCAAGCGTACCTTCATTGGTGACCCAGTTGTCCACATGAGTGATATCAGCCAAGGGTCCTCCGAAGTGCATCGTCGTGGTCCTCTCATCTTGAAGTCTTTGGAGACCCACGGGTAGCTCCATGAGGGCGTGCTCCGGGCCGCGGGTAGAAGAACTCATAGCGTGGTTGAACATGATGTCGGGCCGTCTTTGAACTCCCAGTAGTCTCCTTGAAGCTCTTCTTCCCCTACTTCTCCACACTCGACATCTTCGTCCGGCCCATTTTGCTCGTCCGGGTTCTCGAGTTCCGGGGTGATGTTGTCATAAGCTGCCCACTGATGCTCCTCAAGTTGCCGGTTGGTCTCCTCCTCATATACATTTTCACCTTCCATCCACTCTTCATCCTCGACTCTACCGCCTCTCCATGGGGTCATCAGCTCTCCATTCACCCCACGTCTCATGTTCATCCGGCTCCGGTCCTTCATGATCTTCCAGCGTAGGTCTTGAACTCTTCCATACTCTTCCTCATTCTTCGGAAGTGACCTTACTTGCTGGGCGCTCTTTTTCGGAACCTTCCTCGCTTGATAGGTGATCTTCGGCTTGGGCGCTGCCTTGGGCGATGCCGGTCGGGATCCGGAGTGGTTTCTCCTCCTGATCGGTGATGGGTTCCTGACAAATGGTGGACTCTCCCTCGACGCCATAAGCGCGACAGCGATGGTGGCCTTGTCATCCAGGAAGTCCCTCATTCCGATGGCCTTGAACACGGATGGCCTTGAACATGCACTTCAGGGTCTTGGAGTAGACCGTACTTGCCACCATATCAATCACCAGTCCCAGGTCCTGTTGCGCCTGTAAAGACAAAAACATCGGTGCTTCTGATCCCGAGATCTCCATCGTCGATACCAATTTTCCTCTGCCATTTGTGACTCCACTTCGGATGATATCCAGTCTTGGCCGTGTACTTCTCCAGCCACTTCGACCCATGGCAAGGTTGTATTGCAGCCTGAGTCTAGGTATACCGTGAGCCCTTCGCCTTCCCATGCACCGGACGGTTCTTCGTCGGATCCCGTCAAATCGATCACGGCATTTACTCCACCTGAACCTCCAGTCTCCTCATGCACCACCATGAAGCCCATCACTTCTCATGACGCAGTAGTCCTGGATCCTCCTCATGTTCGGACAGTATGTTGGGCCGTTTCCCGGGCATCAAGGGCAGACTGCACGTAGCTGGGGTCCTTGTCATAGATCAGAGATATAATGATATATTCAAAAGTGAAACCGCCGTACTTGCCGAAGGTCGGCAAATTGTTCCCAACGACTTTGTTGGAGGTGCTGAGCTTTGGGGGTTGGTCTGATGGTGTCTGCCACAGCTGGTCCAAAACACAGAGTGGATGCACTCACCACATGATGGAATTCCTTCTGCTTCATGGCCTTGTGAGTGCCCAAAAGATTTGTGAACATTGTACGCAACTCCATCTCTCAATGCAAATCCTTAGATGCTGGCATGGGCGCG